GGAGGTAGCCGAACTTAGCCGAGAGGAGCCGAAAGCGGTCGAAGGCGTTAGCGCGCGGAAGCTTCAGTGCTCAGAAAGATGTCCCGTTCAGGCGGTAACCAGGTGGCTTCGGAATTTGGTTCTTTAGATCTAGAATCTAAACTAACAAAATGCAAACAGAGAAGTCTATTAGCATAACTCCAGTATCGTCAGTCAATATTCCAAGCACACCCAGAATCGGTACTGCTTTCCAGAACAGCGTGCAGTTTAGTCTCTACTTTTGTAGTTATTCCCTTCAAAAATTTTTGAAAAAGCACAATACTTTATTCATTTCTGCCTCTTGTTTGCAAAACTCGTGAATAACACGCTGTTTCACAAAGTCGCAATCAGGTGTCAGCTGCAACCGCGTTCCGCCTTCCACTAGAGGGACACCTTGGGTCGTGTTTGTAACTTGCCTAGACCTGCTAGGTAAACAAATCTAGGAGAACTGTTCTTGCTCAGAATCTCCCACTCCCCTTTATTGTTAGCCCATAAGAAATACAAGTGAAGCCAAAACACGACTGTTCCATTACAGAGGAATAACCTCGCTTAACAGCATGAAATCCATACTTTTTAGTGCTCTGATGCCCCGCCCCCTCGACTCAAGCACGCGCGCACACTCACAGACAGAGACACACACAGAGACAGACACACACACACACACACACACACACACACACACACACCTTTTATCTATATGAAATAATAAATAACCCGGGTATGAAACCTGAATTCGGGTTTATACAGGTGGCATAGGCTGTAACCCCAGCTATTCCAGACGCTGAAGCAAATTGAAATTACAGATGGGGACCCTCCAACACAAAGTATAAAGAGTGCTGGGATATAGATCAGCGATAGACCCCCGAATTTGTCACTAATATTTCACAGATCTCTGATGTAATAATCTTTTAAAGTCCTTTATGTGGTAGAGTTTTCTGTAACGTTGATGCATGTGTTTGTTTATCTAATTACTTGAGAACATTTAGTCGGCTCCCGCTCATTATGCATAGCATTTCACTAGCTGCTTTGTAGAGAAGTTCAACCAAACCCTCGAGGTACATTTCTGGAAGTGGATGATTAGTGGAATAAAAAGGAAACATTTATCTGAGTTTTCCTTTATTACATTGCCTTCCAGAAAGCCTACCAATTGCCCTTCACATCAGCAGCCTATAAGGGTTTCTCTTCTCCTCTGCTTCCTCCAGTGTTTTCCTTACATGGAAGTGGAAAAAGACACCTGCAGACACTTCATTTACAGCATTCCCTGAGAGCCATGCAGTAATGCCTGTGGTTCTGCAACGGGATTACATAACCAGGCAAGGCCACAGAGCCAGGTGATGTATTTCCAGCTTTTGTTCAGGTTACAGTAAGCAGGGAGTCAGCACACATTCGGAGGTAGGTGCGTGGGTGACAATGCTGATATTTACACCCAGTTCCTCCCACACCGACAGGCAGAATAATGCAACCCAAAAGATGCCCGCATTGAATTCCCAGAACCTTTTATGTTATTTTTCATGGCAAAGAGGAATTTGTAGATGTGATTAAGCTAAACTCTTGTGATGGAGAAATGGATGTGGAATTATCCTGGTGTGTCCAATCTAATCGTAAAGGTTGAAGGGCAAAGGGGAAGCTGGAGAGTTAGCTTCAAAGGAGATGTAAAGGGGGCAACAGGTCAGAGTGAGGTATGAAGGGCCAGGGATGCAGCCTTTAGAAGCTGGAGAACACATGGTTTCTTCCCTGGACCCTCGGGAAATATTACAGACACCCCCCCAACCCATTTTGCACATCTGGTGCCTAGAGCTGGAAGAAACTGCATCTGTGTTATTTTAACCACTGGGTTTGGGGTAATTTGTCACAGCAATAATGGGAAATGAATACACAAGTGTTTCTTATTTTGACTACACTGAACTTTGAAGATGAAGTTCCCAGCTTATAAAAACAAACCAGCAAACACCATAGATGGGTGGGGGGGTGGAGAGATGGCTCAGAGGTTAAGAGCACTGGCTCCTGTTCCAGAGGTCCTGAGTTCAGTTCCTAGCAAGCACATGATGGCTCACAACCATCTATTTTGAGATCTGGTGCCCTTTTCTGGTGTGCAAGCATACAATCAGGCAGAACACTGTATAAATCTTTAAAATAAATCTTTAAAAACACAAACTATAGATAGGAATATATAAGGAAGCAATTGTTTAGAAGATCAAGATTTATTGAAAAGTCAAGCATATGTATAGAGTGACTGGGGTATAGTTAGCAGGGAAAGTGCTCACTGTGAAAGAATGGGTACCCGTGTGTCAAGAATGGGTACCTTCGTGCAATCCTAGAACCCATGTGAAAGAACTGGGGGGTTCCATTGCTGGGAGGTAGTGACAGGTAGGTCCTGAGGCTTGTCACAAGCCTGTCTCCAACACAAGGGAGTTGACAAGAGGGCTCAGTGGGTAAGATGTTTATCCCTAAGCCTGACTCTCTGAGTTTGGGCTTAGGGTTTCAGATGCTGGAAGTTGTTCTTTGACCTCAACATGTATGCTATGGCTTGCACCCCTCATAAATAAATGCATGCAATTCGGAAAAAAAACACAACAACCAAGGTGGACAGTTAGTGAGAATTGACACTCAAGGTTAACCTCTGGTCACCACATGTGTGTGTGCGCACAATACATATATATGTGTGAGTGCACACATGCACACACACAATGGCCATAGAGATGTATAAATGCATTCGTATTTACTCTTCCAAAGAATGTTAATTGGGCATACAATGTGTCAGGTCCTGTACCAAGTCTTATCGGGGACTGGAACAGGCAAAATCCCTGCCTTATATTCTTCTGGGGAGCTAGTGTATGAAGAAATCTATTGATCATTTAATTATGTGAACCGTGGTTATTTCTTGAACATTTTTCTTAATTGTCCCATCACAACAAAGTACTTGAAAAATTTTGATGCCTCCCTAGTAAGCAGACTATCAGAGAGCTATTAAAATCTGAATGTTGAAAGGGACCAATATCTAATATATACTGAAAAAAGAATAAATTGTAAAGCAAAAATGGATAGCATGGTCCCACTTGTCTAAAAATATCAATAGTTATTTTCCCAGGACTGCACAGAAAGTGCTGGAAAGAAACCAAATCTCTTAGCACAAGCAGCTGCCTCTGGGAGTTAAGGTGGTGGTGGTGGTGGGGTCAGCATTACCTTTGAATCTTTGTTTTCTGTTTATTCCCTTCTGTACTGTTTGCCTTCTTTTTACATGACACCCATAATAAAAACGAAAGGAGAAACTTCCCAGATACTGTGTAAACACCTCATCAGCACCAAAGATTTTACCCTGTGAAGTCTAGATTTAATATGTGCCAGGTGGGCAATAGCTAATGTCTCATGCTGGCATCTGAGGCTGTAGATCTTTGTACATTTCGACAGGTCCTTCATAAGCAGAGTGATGCTTTCCCTCCCATGTTACTATCACAGTGATGCTCCAAACCTGTATTTCTTAGCCTGATTTCCCTTCCTTCCTCCCCTCTCTCTTTCTCTCTTTTTCCTCACCCTTTCCCCTTCCTTCTCCTTCCTCTCCCTTGCTCCCAACCCCTCCCTCCAGACCCACTTTCTTATTTTGTCCACAAGGACATAGGCAGGCCTCCACTGGCCTTTGACATAAGGCTAGCAATGAGATTGAGCATCAGTTTTCTCCTGTACTCCCCAGTCTCACGTCAACTCCCAGAGCCAGGCATGGACATCTCTCTCAGCATGTAGTCTTTTGAACTGCATGTAGTCTTCCCTTGATATTCATGGGGATTGGCTCTAGCCCCTCCCCTGACACTGCCACAATAAGCAGACGCTGAAGTCCATTATAATGATTTGTTTCACATCTATATTTTGCCTGCACTACATATGTGTCATGTCCAAGGATGTCAGAAACAGGCATCTGATCCCTTTGAACTTGAGTTACAGCCATGTGGGTGCTGGGAACTGAACCTGGGTCCTTTGCAAGAGCATCAAATAAATACTCTTAATTGCTGAGGGATGCCTGCAGTACCATGAGCATCGTTTTCCTTTCCTGCTTTGTCCTTCTTGGCATTTATTCTGAGAAGAGGCAGAGGGAAGAACTGTGGAGCTCAATTCAATATGAAAAATGCAGGGCATCCTGTTAAAATAATTATTCAAGGAGATGGCTCATTCAATAGAGTGCCTGTCTTGTAAGCATGGGGACCTGAGTCTAGTTCCCAGAACCCACACTAAAAATTCTGGGCACATTGTTGGAGACATGGAGGTAAGAGAATCCCTGGGGCTCCATTGGTTAGCCAGTCTAGTCTGCTTGGGGTGCTCCAGGCCCATGAGAGCTCCTATCTTAAAAAAACAAGGTGAACCGCTCCCGTGAAACAACAAGGTCATCCTCTGACCATCACACACACACACACACACACACACACACACACACACACACACACACACACTGATATTTTCAGGACAGTGACAACAGGTCCTGAACAAAGGTCCTTTCTGAATGTGACTATACATGTTACTCACCTTGAAGACCATTTCTATGACGGATGAAAGAAGATTCATGTATCAGATCCACCAAGTAATAAGGACAGGGACTGCTGGCTTAATAGATTGAAAACATGGTCTATGGATGGTGTAGATGAGACACAGTTAGGTGAGGGTATCCTGTAGGTTAGCATCATCTAGTACACAATCCAACCTTAAGGGAATCACCAATCTATGGTAAATCGCATACACAGGAAGAACAGGTCTTGGAAACAAGGGGTGGTTCCAGTGACTGA